TTACAATATTCCATTGTAAAGTAAAGCATCAAACTCATTAAACATAGGTTGGCACCATTTGAGAGTTTTTGAGGGCTTGGGGAATAGTGGTGGGTTCAAGGATAGGTTGTTGGAGTTGGGCAGTGAGGTTAAGTTTCTGAATTGGTTTATAGATATTGTATTTGGAGCAAGTGATTATAGCATGAGGTAAGGGTGAGATGTCAGGTGAGTGATTAGGGTCGGTTTGATTAGGTGGGAGCGATGAGTCATTGTTATGATCTCTTTCAATTTCCGGTATGTGTGTGGGTGCACTAGAATGGATATCAGGTTTTGGTAAAGGTATGTCTCGAGAGACAATATTTTGAGGTGGGTCTGGGGTTAGCTGGGAGTGATAGGAGTTGGCAAATTTGATGGGGAAGCAAAGTCTACATCTAGGGATGGTGTGGCCACAATTGATAAGCTCATAGAACATCACTCAGAGATGGTAGATGGAGTGACACAAGAAAAAGAAGTATGAGAAATGGAAAAGGGAAAAATGGACTCAACAAACTAGACATGGAAGGAAGTGTATAGATGAGCTGTAGATGTATCAACACATACATAGGCACTTCGAGTGGGAGTATACCTGACAAAGATACAAGGAGAAGAACAAAACTCGAGTTTGTGGGATGTGTATAGGCGAAGCTAAGGATAGCAGAGACATCCAAAACTTCGAAGTTTGGAGTAGTTAAGAAATGTATTAAATAGTTTGAAATATGAGACGAGGTGGATTTAAATAGGTGTAGGAAGGCGATTGATGAGATAGACAACAGTAGAAAGGGTAAAGGGCTAGTATGATAAAGGCATAGATACATGAGTAAGGAGAGAAAGATCTGTTTCAACAAGGTGATGATGACAATGTTCAAAGTACCCATTGTGCTCAGGAGTGTGAGGTGGAGAAGTAAGGTGTGAGACCCCGTTGATAGTTAAGAATGAAGAGAGAGCTTGATATCCTCCCCTCCCAACTGCCAAAGGAAAGTTTTTTGATTGAAAGATTAAAGAATGTATCTGTTAGAGTCTTAAAGCGCACAAAGACATCATCTATGTCAGATTTGCATTTGCGAGGATAAACCTAGATGTATTTTATAAAATGGTTGATAAAGATGTAGTATTTAAAGTGTGTCAATAGAACAGATCGGTGATGTCCATATATCAGTGAACATAATTTCAAAAGGTGAAATGGTAGAGAGAGTAGAAGCAAAAAGTGATAATTTATGACTTTTGTTACATTGACATGAATTACAATTAAAATTGAAATTGAAAGTGATGGAGTATCCAAGGCTATCCAAGTCGATTCGAATGCTCAAGTTGGGTCAGTGGTTTGTGCGGTTTGATGGCGCAAACTCGATCCAAGTGCCTCAATGAGTCACTTCAAACCCTAGTTTGAGTTGTCAAAGAATCAATTGGAGCACCAAATATGGAATCAAGTCTCGTTACTTCGCTCCAAGCTACGGTTGAAGATGATTCTTGAAGGGTCGAATGTTAGTTGTTAGTTGTTATTTTAGGCTTACTTAATACCTAAATAAAACGATCTAGTCTTAAACTTGGATCCGTTTTTAATTACTAGGGTTTTGGACCACATGTTAAGGTCCGCTTAGTTGATTAAGCCTAAGTTGTTAGGCCCAAGTTTAGTTAAGCTTGTGTTTGGGTACCTTTGTGTCAAGATGATAAAAACATCATTTCTCACGGTGAATGACAAAATACGATTTTTGAGAACATCGTTCTTGAGAGAACCTCTCTTTGGCTCTACGAGCTTCCATTGAACATCTAGAATCATCTAGTGTTCATATTCGACTTATCATTCAAGAAATCTATCCTTGATTGTGATGCCTTCTAACAAATTTCTAGGGTTTGTTAGTTTGTTTGATTGTGGGTCAAGAAGATTCGCAATCACGGATATTAGAGGGGTGCAGAGTAGGAAATTCCACCAATTCAAACCTGAGAATATCACCATCGGTCCGGGGTTCTTTGTCACGATTCTCGTCATCAACGGGATTCGTATCAGCTGGTATCAGAACTAGTTGTGAATTTTTCAGGTTATATCCTTTGTTTTTATTTGCTTCGTTTGTTTTTGATGGTTGTTTAGACAAGCTATTGCTATTTTAGGAAGAACTGCTAGGGTCTCTTTATTGATTATCGCGTCTTCGTTGTTCATCATGGTTAATTTCATTATTTCCTATGCAATCTGTCTGTGACCTTTTTATTATTGTTTCTTCTTATTTTGGAGTAGAATTTTGTGTTTATTGGTGTTGTTTTAGTTGGTATTTGTTCCCAAAAAAATTCAACAAAAAAATATACAGTAGCTAGAGTTTAAGTCTTCATCGCGTTTGTCTTGTTTCCAGTCAAACTTTTCTTACAATCTGTCCAAAATTTGTAAGTCATTAGTTTCTACTGATTTTGTCTAGATTGTACTGTTAATTCTTGCTGATAATTTGTATCATTGTGGTAGTGAAATAGTTTGAAAAAATTCAGAAAAAAAAATCCAATCGTTAGCTTGTCCTTGTTGCGACCAAACTGGGGTTTGTGTTTCTTGATTCTATCCAAGTTAATTCTTGGTTGTTACTTTCGATTTGTATTTCCAGCACCTATATTGTTGTTGTTTTGTGATTATAGTCCAAGTTTCTAGTAAAAAAAAAAACTTTCTAGACGTGACTTCTTGAAGGACCCGAAGTAGTTGCTAGGGTTTTTGATTGTTTGAACTGTGAATTTGGAATAAAAGTATACTTATTGTACATAATTTCTTGAAACTTTGAGTCAAAATTCCAGATTCTTGAAGTTCCTGATTGTTCAAGTAACAATCTAGAAGATCTTAGAGTAACAATCTAGAAGATCTTAGAGCAACAATAACGATTCTTGAATTTGTTCATCTTTAAACTTGTCTTGTTGGGAACCGAAGCTGTTTGCTCAAACCATGGGTTGTTTTGAGCTAAATTTTCAAAACTTTCTTCATTCTTGAATTTTAGATCATCTTCATATAATCTTGTGTGAAATTTTCAAAATTTTCTAGGTTTTTGGGAGCCAAAACCTGTTCATACCAAAGCTGCAAATTTCCAGCCACAAGTCTTAGTTTATCGAGTTCGTCTTGGTTGTTTTTTATCAGAATTTAATCAATCAATTTGTTGTTACAGCCACCTATTTGATCCATTTAATAGATCAGAAACACACCATAAATGTGTCCTGATAGTCTTCAAGTGGGATAAACAGAACAAATAACAAAACAGTCGCCTAGACAATCCAAATTTCATTCGGCTTGTGATTTCCTAAACCGATAGCCTTGTGATCAGTTTGTTGTTGGAATTTCATGAGTCCAGCCTTGATTATGATTCATAGAGTGACCAGAATCACACCTTAATTGTGTTTTAGGTAGCCATTAAGTTGGTTGAACAGAAATTAAAAGAAATAGTTGCAATCCAAATCCAAATTCCCTTCGAATTTGTCGAACTCTATCTGATAGCTTTAAACCAATTCCTTTGGTGGAACTTTCTTTGAAACCATCCTTGAAATCCTTATTTCTTTGGGGAAAGGGGTTAATTCTGGTTTTGTTCCAAGCGGTATAGTCTAAATTAGTTTTCCAAATTGCACCAGTCACCAACAAGACAAGAAATTAGAATCGAATCTCTTTGTGTCACTTATCCTTGCGTTGAGTCAACTAGTTTCTTGGAGTCATTAGCTAACTTTCTTTTCCAGTAGTGTCAGCCAACAAATTTCATTCTTAGAGCCCAGAAATTTCATTCAAATTTCCAATTCGTTAGGTCCTAAGGCTCAGATAAAATTCCAAAATTTCTGTCAAAAGTTGAATGCTCTAGCCTTGCTGTAGTCTTGTCATTTTTGTTTCATATTCCAGTAGTTTTAGCTATAGAGTTCATCCACAGAGCATCGCATAACATCTAAAATTTCTAGCTTCTTAGTTCATAAGTTCCTCTACAAATTTTTAGATTTTTGAAGTGTCCAAAAAATTTCAGATTTGAAGTGTCATTCTTACTAGTCTTGAGTCGCAACTTTGTTGGTTGTTTGAGTCATTAATTGCCAGTTAATTCTAGTAATATTCAACCTCAAATAGTCTTCAAAGTTCCAATTTGTCTCGTGTAAAAATTCCAGATTTTTGAATCATCGTTAGAACTAGTTTGTCGAGTCATGTTCACTAACTATTAAGTCATTATTTTCAGCTTTATTCAAGTAGAATTTCCAGCCTCTTATTGTCCCAAAAGTCGAGTTTTTTATCCTTTCCAGAAACTTGTGTCTTTTCTTTGATCCACCTAGTACAATTATTAGTTGGCTACACCAAGGGACTTGATGGTAGAGCTTGAAATTCAAACATTTTAAGGGGATTCTACACTATTCAAGGGAAGCAGCCGAGAGCTATTAGAGAGTTTGGTGAGATTATTAGAGAAAAATTTGAGTGTAAACACGAGTGTTGAGTGCATACACGTGAGGGAGTAAGAAAGGATATATTTATTTTATACTAACTTTTCTTGTAGGGTACCTAACCGATGAAGGGACAAGAGCCTCAAACTAACATTGTTCTTAAATTAGAAATGTTATTTGGAGATTTTTTCAAAAGAATCTCCAATGATATGGAGGCCTTACATGAACGAATGGATTGAATGGAGTTATCACGAACACCATCCAAGGGATGACGAGACAAAAACAAATTTAGAGAATCCGAAGACTCCAATAATGAAGGGTCCAAACAAAGGTCGAAACTGAGGCGATGAGAGACGAATTGAGAAGGTTATCCTATTAAAGGGATCAAAATGAAGATTCTATCATTACAAGAGAGATCTGATCCCGAGGCACATCTTGAGTGGGAATGAAAGGTCGAGATGATTTTTGAGTGCCACAACTATACCAAGGAGCGGAAGACCAAACTCGCAGTAATCGAATTTATCGATTACTCGATCGTTTGGTAGGATCAGTTGTGCACTAGTAGAAGGCGAAGTGGAGAACCTGCCATCAATACTTGGACCAAATTAATGGAAATCATGAGAAAAAGATTTGTCTCGAACTATTACTATAGAGACTTGTACCAGAAGTTGCAGACCTTATCTCAAGGAAGTCGTAGTGTCGAGGACTACTACAAGGAGATGGAGGTGATCATGCTAAGAGCAGATGTCCAAGAGGGCTATTAGGCTACCATGGCTTGGTTTCTCAATGGACTATGATCAAATATAGTTGTGAGACTCGAGTTGCAGACCTGCATAGAGATTGGCCAGATGGTGGACAAGACCATAAAGATCGAGTAAAGATTCAAAAGGAGAGGTCAACCATAGAGATCGAGTTACACATACTCGACCGCATTCCTAGGTCGAGCCAACTATGAAGACAATTTTTAAATTCCAAGCAAGCAGTTAAGCCTTTTACTCCAAGACCTAAGTCCAAACCACCTAAGAGAGACACCAAAGCATTCCATAGAGTATATTCGGAGCCTCAAAAGGGAAGGAGTCGAAACACTAGATGCTTCAAGTTTCAGGAACAGGAGCGGGTAGGGTGAATCTCCGTAACGATTCTAACGAGAACAAAGGCCAAAACCTCCTCCTATTCTAATGAGATGGAACGAGTGTAATAAAAGTCAAAGAAGGAAGGAGCGAGCTACCGTTCAGTGGCTATAAGAGAAGGGTCCAGTCCTAAGCGCATTAGTCTTTGAAGCAAATTTCTGATCCGTCGTGAGCCCATTCTTCACTTTGTCAAGCATATTCTTATCTGAGAAATTGAGTGGGAAGGGTCCTACATGGAAATCAGGTTCGCACCCGCACTCTTTTGACTGAGAGGCGGGCGCCTTTTGGCATTAGAGCTCTTTCAACAAAAGAAGATTCGAGACTATGAATTCAATTTGAAAGAATCTGAGTTCTGAAAGAAAGATCGAACGAAGGATTTGGGGCTTCTTGCTACGCTACTTAACTATGAATTAGTAAGAGCTTCAACAATTTCATTGCTTTCTAATAAGAATGCCGAATAGAAGTCCATGGAAGTAATGAGAAAAGATCACATAGCGTGAAATTGAAAGAAGGGCATAAGACAAGATTGTGCTAAATCAACTATCGAATAGAACCTTTGTCTGGTTCATCGGTCGGTAAGCGAACTGAAAGATTGGAATCATTTTCTTTTCTCGTCCACAAATAGGAGTTATCGCTTACTCCATATAGGCCTTCCCTCTCTTTCTTTTGTAGACGGTTTGTGCCATGATGAACATGGTTTCATTGCACCATATTCAAATCTTTCTATCTCCATGCTGGACGTGGTTTTTTTTCTTTGAACAAGGCTTATGTTTGAAAGGCAGCACAAGCAAGCTTGAATCCTGTTATTTTGAGAAGCCCGGCAGTGGTTGGTCGAGACTCAGGATTTTGTTTAGCTAAGTGGCCTGTAGATTAGAATCGTCAAGCTCACCCTAATTTAACATCTGCTTGCCAATTTGAAGAATCTCAAAACGTGGTTAACCTCAATTGATGGTCTCACATTTAATTAAAGGATATTTACTTTAGTTACTTTAACCTTAATAGTTTCATAAAATCATTAAAGTAATTATCTATTTAAGGCTTATTTTTCAGCTAAATAATTTTCATATTTGTAAGCTAAAATAATTAACTGAAAAATGATCCCTGGCACAAATAATTTTCCTTCCTCTCAACTTTTTTTTTTTTTTAGACAGCTTGTTGGAAAAGGTTGCACCTGATAAATGTGATTCCATGACATTGTAAGAAGTTTTACAGAGTTTAGCGGTGAAGTTTTTCGGAGTTTACCAATGGAAGTATCTCTTCCTTGGTCTTTAGAAGAGAGGCTTGATAGTTTGTCCTAATGGCTCTTTTTTTTTTTTTTTGCTTTAACAAAAAATAGGAACATATAATGATCTGAGTGATAGACAACTAAATATTAATATAAATAAATTTACAAATAATGAAGAATAAATCAAAAATTCAAATATAATGGCACTCAACTCAGGATCTCTTGCAGTCACAGCTTTAAACTTTAATTGCTAAACCAAAGCCTCATGGCACAGTGGCCAAGATAATGACTAATTATGTAGCTTTGCAGTGAAGGACCAAAAAGTATTAAAGTAATTTGTCTTGCTTTAAAATCAAATCCAAAGTAGGATGAAGTTTTATAACAATATGATATCTATTCAAAAACGTTTTCAGACCAAAACACGAGAATATAGCAATAACAACTAACTAAGTTTTTTTTTTTTTCCAAAATAATACTCTTTTCCAAAACTATTCCCAAGGTGATTCAATTCCAAAATTTATCTCTAACGATACTTTTTTTAGTCTATTTCCAAATAATCTTGTTTTGCAAAATATACCCAAACTGATCTAATTTCAAATTTTATTGTTTTTCTAATTTTGTATTTGCCATGGTGGAAAAAATAAAGCAGACTCTACTTTCTTTCTCTAGTCTTTTATTTGCCAAGGTGAAGAACATATACTATACCAATTGAATATATATGAGATAATAAAAATGATGATAGAAATTTGTTCAAAAAAAAATATAAAAAATTTTCATTAGAAAACTGCAATCCAAACGTCTTAATAACTTTGAACAAAAGGGAAGCCATGTTAAATAAAAAAAGCAGTAGTTGTTCCAACTTCCAAGTGTTAAAATCAAACAAGACAATGAGAGGTTGTGTGCAGTAGTAGTGTTTTGATTATATCAATTCACTTTTATGCACAGAATTTGGCAAAGATTTTCGGGTGCATTGTTGTACATTTTGCTCAGTTAGTTGAATTAATTTCTGAAATAATGTTAAAATATGATGCGAACTCGATTCTCCAAGGACCGCTTGAGAAGAAACAAATTGCATAGGCAGCAGAAGGATTTACCTTAATCAGGTTATCGACAAATTGGATGGATTCTAAACAATCAAGAACCACTCGAGATTGATTAGAATGGTAGAATGGCGCCACAATTCAGCGTGATTTTATATTAATAAGCCAAACTTGAACAAAGGAGATATAACTCACTTTGTATCAAGGGACGTTACTAAGGAACAAGAAAGAGAAAAACTCTCAATTTTTATTCATTTCATAATTGCCTTACAATGGAATAGAGAAGGCCTATTTATACCTAAAAGCAAAACCACTAAGACTAATCCAATTTGGATAAGGATTTGGTCCTTATTTCCCTAACTACTTTTAAATGGCTCAAATAGTTCACATAACTGATTTATGTGAAGATTTCTAATTCTCCTGCACACCTAGAGTCCTTCAAAAATCTAGTCCTTCAAAGAGAAGGGGAAGACCCTCATTTTTATCTGCTCTTCTGTGATTCCCGGGGACTTCATGCTGTTGCAAACTACATCAAACTCTTGCAAGTGTTTATACGGCTCCTCACTTGGTAAACTATGGAAAGATGGTAAGAGATGTATTATGCCAGATTTTAACTCAAAAGATGTGTTATCATTCAAACTTGGAAAAGTAATGCACAAAGGTTGCTGATTTAAATTAGACACAGCCAACTCCCTTAGTGTTTGTGCATTTGCCATGGTGACATCCTCTTGATCCGAGTCACTCGAAGTGTCACCAAACGAATCTGCTGGTCCAACTTCTGGCTCAGGTCTCTGAGATGCAGCACTTGAGTGCTCTTTTCTGAGTTGTCTGGTTTCTTTCCTCGTTCTACATGCGATCTTCTTTACTTCAGGATCGAAAATTAATTCGCCTGTACGAGAAGAACAAGGCATAAACTAAAAAAATACCAAAAAATTAGAACAAAATTGAAATTAAAAAGAAACAAATAATTAACGCTAGTCCCGGCAACGGCGCAAAAAATTGACAGGTTGTCGAACCTGTGCAATAATAAAAATAGAACCTAACTACTACTAAAAGCAGTCAATAATTAATCCTACGTACTGGAGCAGGGACACTCTAGGTGTGCAATGGGTTACTTGATTCACCCTTTTCCCGAAGAGTTTGCTTAACCCGATATACCAGAATTAATTAATTGACAAAAATTACTAAATAGTAGACAGTGGCAAGCAGGGTCGTCTCCTCAGAAATTGGGGATATTCGTCTCTTTGAAATTTCAATTGGTAAAAGAGGATTTTCTCAGAATGTAACTAAAAAAATTAAGCAATTCAATTAAAAATAAAAAATTAATTAGCACGAATATAGCAGGAATTAAATCAAGAATAGATAAATTCTAACCAGGGATACAACTACTCAGACACAGTCCATTTATCCGATCATTGATGCAAGAGAGATTCACTTAGTTTATTAATAGGTTAGCTATAGTCTCCAACGAAGTCTAACGACCAATTTTTCCTTAATTTATTGATAACCAAGATATGACCATTGATTACCCCTAACCAGAAAATACTTCTAGGTACGACCGTAGGAATTAATTTTTCAATTGCATTAATAACTAAAAAAACCTAACCCCAATCAATAACACGCTACGAGGGTTATTTAAATTAAATTGCACGTTCCCTTAGTGCGTAAACACGCCAGTTGCCACTAATATTAATCAATCAAACAATTACGGATTTAATTGACTAACTTGGCAGGAGATTAATAAATCACATTAAATATCAGGCCCTTGACATCCAATTAATAAAATAATCTCATGAAAATTCAAGCAGACAACGTGCAAATATTAATAAATTGAGAAACGCGTGAAAACTAATTTGATCTCACAGATTTTCGGAACTGCGCCGTCGAGTTGATCCTTGACTAGATAAAAGGCTTAGTCACGCCGCATAAATAAATCTCTATGCAAATTAATTGATTGCAAGGGCATTGCGTTTTTTACTAGAAAGCAAGGAATAAAAGATATTGTTCCCGTTGGGGAATTTTGTAGAACACAAGGCATGCGCCTAACAAAAGGAAAAGAAAAGAGAACTAAAACTAAAGCTATCTAAAACTATTGATAAGATCCTCCTGTATGTCCCTTTTTTCTCTTTTAAAGCCAAATGACTAAATGCCTTCCCTAGGGGAGAGTTGCAGCTGTGAAGAATCAATTGGTTGGAGCTTATAACGAAGAGGAGCAATATTGGCAACAGAAATCTAGGCTAAGCTGGCTTCGGGAAGGAGATAAAAATACCAAATACTTCCATGCAGTGGTGAAGGGGAGGAGGAAGAGAAATAAGATAGGAAATTTGAAGAGGGAGGATGGTTCTTGGACTACAACTGATGAAGAAATTACAGCCGAGGTAGCTAAGTATTATAAGCATCTCTTTAAGTCTAGCGAGATACAATGCTTGGAGGATATTTTGGATGGTATACCTAGCACCATTACTGACCACATGAATGGTAATTTGACTAGACCAGTGGAGGAATACGAAATAAAGGTAGCAATTTTTTCTATGAATCCCAATAAGGCTCCAGGGCCTGATGGGATGACACCTCTATTTTTTTCAACATTTCTGGTCTACCATTAAGGATGATGTGGTGAAAGCTATCAAGTCTTTTTTTCATTCTGGCCATATGCTTAAATCTGTGAACTATACCACCATATCTCTTATTCCTAAGGTAGAAATACCAACTAAACTGACACATTTTAGACCAATTAGTCTCTGTAATGTTATTTACAAAATCATCTCCAAAATTCTTGCTAATAGGTTGAAAACTGTCCTGGAACATTGTATTAGCAAGAACCAATCTGCTTTCATCCCTAACCGACAAATTATGGACAGCATAATTATATCTCATGAATGCCTACATTTTCTTAAAAACAAGAGACAAGGCAAGGATGGATATATTGCTATTAAACTGGACATGTCTAAAGCTTATGATAGGGTGGACTGGGGATATCTCAAAGCTGTGATGGAAAAAATGGGGTTAGTCAATTGTGGGTGAAGTGGATTATGGAGTGTATCACTTCTGTATCTTATTCTTTCAACATCAATGGAGAGAACAAGGAGTATGTGATTCCATCTAGAGGCATTAGGCAAGGTGACCCACTGTCACCTTACCTTTTCTTGTTATGCTCTGAAGGTCTCTCGAATATGCTTAAGAGAGCAACAAGGCAGGGATTACTCAGTGGTCTAAGGATTAGTAGACATGGGCCATTCATCACACACCTCTTTTTTGCGGATGATACACTCGTTTTTTGTAAAGCTGCGAGCCAAGAAACAAGGAAACTAAAGGAAATTCTTGATCAGTATGCAAGAGGGTCTGGTCAGCTAATCAACTTGGACAAATCCTCTATACACTTCAGCAAGAATACTAAGGAGAATGATAAGGTGAAAGCCTGTGTGCCACTAACAGGTGTTAAGGTAGTGAATCAAGGGAAATACTTGGGGCTTCCAATGGTAGTTACAAGGACAAAAAGTCAGGTCTTTGGGTTTATAAAGGACACCATTAAGACACGGCTAAGTAGTTGGAAGAACAAGTTTTTGAGTGCAGCAGGCAAGGAGGTGACGCTTAAAACTGTAACTATGGCTTTGCCAACGTATGTCATGTCTTGTTTCAAGTTACCAGCTAGTCTTTGCAAAGAAATCACACGTTTGATGGCTGCATATTGGTGGGGTGAGTCACAAGGCAGAAGCAAGGTACATTGGTGTTCTTGGGATAAAATGATGAAGGCCAAACTGGAAGGCGGATTGGGGTTCAGGAATCTGGAATGCTTCAACAGAGCTCTACTTGGAAAGCAGATTTGGAGACTGTTACGCTTTCCAAACCTGTTGGTCAGTCAAGTATTGAAGGCTAAATATTATCCCAACGAAAATATTCTGAACTGTGACATCCCTAAACATTCTTCATGGTTCTGGCAAAGCATAATGTCTGCAAGGGAAGTTGTTAAGGGGGGTATTTGGAAGAGAGTTGGCTTAGGTAAGAGTATTAAATTATGGAAGGATCAGTGGATATCAAACAATCCAAATGGAAAGCCAACAACGATGGTGCCAGATGGGGGGGAGGAGCAGAAAGTGGAGGAGTTGATATCAAATTTTAGGTGGAAGAGGAGTGTCATTTTTAGAAGATTCAATAGAGAGGATGCGGAGAACATTTTGCGCACACCTATTAGCCTGTCAAGGACTGGAGATTTGCATTTTTGGATCCATAGTAAGCAAGGAGAATACTCAGTTAGGTTGTGCTATCAACTTCAACTGAAGGAAGCAAGGATGAAGGCAGAACAAGCAAAGGGGAATCAGGTTCTAGCTATGATGATTCTAACACTCAGATTTGGAAAACTCTTTGGGGCTTGAATATTAAGCACAAGATTAAACTATTTATATGGAGGTGTATCACTAACACCTTAACAGCAAGGGAAACAATCTTTAGGAGAACGAAACAAGGCTCACCATGCTGCTCTAGATGTGGAGATCGCATAGAAACAGTGGAACACATTTTGTTTCATTGTACTCAGGCTCAGAAGGTGTGGAAACTCGCACCAGTTCAATGGGATGGGTTACAGAACCAAACTGGATGCTTTAGGCAGTGGTAGGCAGCCTTAACTCAAGCTCGAAGTAGAAAGGAAGGAAGACAGCATATAGCTTTGACAGCTAATATTCTTTGGCAACTATGGAAAGACAGGAATGATCTGGAATTCGAAGGGAAAGTGAAGGATGGATTCAGAGTTGTGCAAACAGCGAACACTGAGTGGTTCAAGTTTGAAGAAGCTGGTAGAGTCACACCAGCTGGGAGTACATCAGAAACAGATGCAACAAATGCAAGCCAAGGGAGGAACGAATGGAGGCAACAGACCTGATGGAACTTCATGTTGCAACACATAAAGCATCATCGGGTCACAAGATGGGAATTGGGGTTGTGTCCAAACAGAAAGATAGCAGAATCGGAGCTGAATGGGCGCTTGTGGACAGAAGCTCACATATGGACATCCAAGATGCAGCTGCAGCAGTGCGTCTCGCACTTATCAAAGCAGCACAGTTCGGTTGGCAAAGGATCAAAGTCATAAATGGCAATAAACAACTTATTGGCCTGCTGAAAACTAGGAAGGGAAACAACCCGAATATAGCTACGTTGGTGGAAGACATACTTGCTCTTGCAAATCTGTTTCACATGTGCTTTTTTGAAGAAGGAAAATCTACTAATATGGCTCTATGTAAAACAATTAGTTCTTATGCTTTAAGCATAGTTATGGATGAGAAGAGATTTGTTGTATCTCCTTAGTGTCATGGTACACTTTGTATAGGTAGTTGAGCTGTTGGTCAAATATTATAAAGTCTTGATTGTTATAAAATCCATCTATCGTTTTCGGAAAAAAAAAGACTAAATGCCTTCCCTATCTTCGTGTCCCTGCCGATCCAAAAGCCCAAGAATTGGAGCCCTCTGCCAAAGTTCTTGTGTGTAGTTTTCTCCTGTTAGGAGGCCTCCCAGTTAGCAAAAAGGGGAAATGGAAGTCCGGTTCTTCTCAGCAACGTGGGCCAGGTTTATGGATTTTTTTTAGAAGTCTTTTCTCCAAAAAGTCCCTCCTTTTTTTGTAGTTTTCTGCTCCACTCCCTGAAATTGAGTCCAATGCCAAATATAAGTAAATATTGATAATTAAAATAATATTTGGCAAGGACAAAGGGGAAATTAATAATAAAATAACAAACAATTTACATCCTACCAGAAGTATATCAAATGAAGGGAAATAAAAGAATTAAAATAAAAAAATAGGCCATTTTCTCATCCTATTTATACTTTACTTTCATAGTCGTTGTGTTTTGTAAAGCTAATCATAATATCCCTAATTGTTTTTCCGATTAGTCCACCTAAATTGGTTCTTTAATTTTAATCCATCATCTGAATCCGAATCCAGCTGGTGTTAAGTACATACTTCCCAGCTCGAGCCCCTTGCCAAGTACAAGTTTTCTACAAAGGATAGTCCATGTCTAAGTAAAATTTAAAGTTCATTTGTATTGCAATTTTTATCAAAAAAATTTGTATGTTTTTTATGAATTTATTTTTCAATCACCTTTTCACCCTCACATACATCAAATCGTTATAATATAATTTTTTACAAAAAACTTTAAAAAATATAGTAATTCAAACATGCTCATTCGCCTGAAAGACATTAGGCCAATGGTTCCACAAACATCGAAGTTAATTTCTATATGGATTCTTGAGGCACTCATGAAAGTAATTTGATCCCTGAGCAAATGTTTTTTTGGTTATTATTTATTGATTAATCATTAATGTCCAATGCGTTCTCTTTTTGGCAATGTGTCGCTTGACTTTCATATACTCGTCATTGTATTTTGGTTATTCATTTTTTTTCCCATTTCAAATTGGTAATCAAACAACCATAACATCGCGCGCCTATTCCATCTAATTTAATCCATGGGTAAATGGTTTTGTCAACCGATGGTCTCACATTTAAATAAAGGATATTTATTTGAGTTACTTTAACCTTAATAGTTTCATAAAACCATTAAAGTAAGGGTAAAAAAAACCCTTGTGGTAAATTTAATATACAGAAAAGCCCCCTGTGATTTCAAAACGTATAAAATAATATCTCATGTTTTAAACTAAATTATGAGGTGATGGAATCCATTAAAATTAACAGAAATGACTTATTGGAATCTAAAAACAAATTTTTTATACCTAAGTTTTTAACAAATATACATGTTCTACCCCTTAATCCACAATTCTCTTTTTCTAGATAATGAAACAACTAATTTTATTGAACTGCCTTTTGCTTAGTTATATTAGGACAATTTTGTCATTTCGTCCGTCTCCGTTAATTTTAATGGATTCCGTCACGTTTACAATTTAGTTCAAAACATAAGATATCGTATTGTACGTTTTAAAATTACGATGGGCTTTTCTGTATACTAGATTTACCATAAGGGTCTTTTTTATTTTTTACCCTTAAAGTAATTATCTACTTAAGGCTTATTTTAGCTAAATAAATTTTTCATATTTGTAAGCTAAAATAATTAACTGAAAAAATGATAACCAGCACAAATAATTTTCCTTCCCCACAACCTTTTTTTTAGACAGCTTGTTGGAAAAAGTTGCAACTGATAAGTGTGATTTCATGACATTTGTAAGAAGTTTCACAGAGCTTAGCGGTGAAGTTTGTCGGAGTTTACCAATAGAAGCATTTCTTCTTCCTTCCTTGGTCTTTAGAAAAGAAGCTTGATAGTTTGTGCTATTGGCTTTTTTCCTTTTTTTGCTTTAACAAAAATTAAAGAACATATAATGATCAGAGTAATACACAACTAAATAATAATATGAATAAATTTACAAATAATGGAAGAAGAAATCAAAAATTCAAATATAATGACACTTCAACCCAGGATCTCTTGCACTCACAGTTTTAAACTCTAAGAGCTAAATCAAAGGCTCATGGCAGAGTGGCCAAGATAATGACTAGTTTTGCAGTGAAGGACCAAAAAGTAAACGTACAGCAATGCACCGGAAATCTTTGCCAAATTCTGTGCATAAAAGCGAATTGACATAATCAAAACAGTACTACTTGCCACCGCACACAACCTCTCATAGTCTTGTTTGATTTTAACACTTGGAGCAGCTACTTCATTCTTTATTTAACATGGCTTCCCTTTTGTTCAAAGTTATTAGACGTTGTTTGGATTGCAGTTTTCTAATGAAAATTTTGTATGTTTTTCCTGAACACATTTCTATAATCATTTTTTTATATATCAAATTGGTATAGTATATTTTCTTCACCTTGGCATATAAAAGATTAGAAAAAGAAAGTAGAGCCTGCTTTATTTTTTCCACCGTCGTAAATAAAAAATTAGAAAAGCAATAAAATGTGAAATTCGATCGGTTTGGGTATATTTTTCCAAAAAAAAAAATATTATTTTGGAAATAAACTCAAAAATGCATCATTGGAGATAAATTTTGGAATTGAATCACTTTGGGAATAGTTTTTAAAATAGTATTATTTTGGGGAAAAAAACCTCCCAAACGATAAGTATCAGTATGGTTAGGTGTGAAGTATGGAATGAATTTCCGAAATAATGTTATAATCAAAACTATTTTCCAGTATAACACCTTTCTAAAACTATTCCTTAATCTAATGCTCCTTGTGGTATGTTTGACAAACTATAAACATCACATTATTGTTCCTCATAAACCAAAGCTGTCATTACCTTCTATCCCTTTACCTATGTTTCACAATTTTTTTTCACGTTCTCCTTTGGTTGGATTTAACTATTCAAAAAATTTGAAATTTTTCTCGTTAGAAAAAATTTATTAAGCAAATCTTCATAAGAAACAATTTAACTTTTTCCACACCCAAACCATGCTTTGTATTCAGCTAAATCCCCAAAACTAATATCCCTCAAATCTCACTTCTCCATTATTGCAATCGAATTGAGTATATCGTAATTTAACAATAAAATAGTGTAATAATCACATTAGTAATTATGTGATAACAACTTAAGCATTTTACCAAGTACTAGTACTTCAGTTAGAAGCATAACCAATTGAGAATGGAGAGGTGGAAGAGAATGTTTGTTTGTTTGAGTTAGAATAAACCCAAAAAAAAGGTGAGAGATGTTCAAAAGTGAAGGACAAGAAATATTCAAGAGTAATGAGCAGACGAAAAAACTTGTAGTGGGATAAAGTTAGAAAGCACAGAGGTTAGACACAACGTAATAAATTAGAAAAAGGTAGAGGAAATGTTGTGTCAACATGTGTTTGTAATTACAAACTTTTGAAATATAATTTATATTTTTGTTTACCTGCTACAAGTCTGCAACTCACAAGTATTAAATTGAGGAATAGTTTTGAGAAAGTATTACACCGGGAAATAATTTTCATAATTATATTATTTTGGAAATTAACTCTGAAGTATGAAACCCACTTATCAAACACCCCTAAATGTTACCTTAATGTGAATGTAGTAATTGTGCAGATATTTTGTCTAAATTCAATCAATTTTGCATTAAGTATCAATATGAGGAAAGGAAATTTTTGTATTTAAATTAGGGTAAAAAAAAAAAACCCCCTATGGTTAACCTAATACACAGAAAAGCCCCTATGGTTTCAAAATATACAACACGACCCCTCATGCTTTGAACTAAATTGTAAAGGTGATGGAATCCGTTAAACTTAATGGAAATGGACGAAATGACCAAAATGCACTGATATAATTAAGCAAAAGACAGCTCAAAAAAATCATTTGTTTTATTCTCTAAGTAGAGAGAATTGAGGGTTTAGGGGTAGAATAGGTATATTTGATAAAACTTAGGCATAAAATTTTTTTTTTAAGTTCCAATAAGTAATTTCCGTTAAGTTTAACGGATTCCGTCACTTTTATATTTTAGTTCAAAGTATGAGGTGTCGTATTGTATATTTTGAAATCATAGGGGACTTTTCTGTGTATTAGGCTTATCACAGAGGGTTTTTTGCTTTTTACCCTTTGAATTATGATTAATCTTTCTTACACTGACAATATGTATACTATCAGCGTTGAATGAATGGTAATTATATAAAATTTAATTTTTACACATATATCATATATTCAACGAAGCATGCATAAAATTTACTCTTAGAAACTATACTTTACGTATAAGAAGTGATTGCGAAAGAACAAGAGGCTTAGACACAAAATATCATAGCTCTGTCAATCTCATAGTTTGCAAAAGTTGTCTCAACCCCATTTTGTGGACCTGGGCGGGCACTGTTCTGCTCACTTACATCATACGTGATATTTGTTTTTTTTTTTTAAATATACTATTTGATATACAAAATCGGAGGAGGGGCAGCCTGAAGATTTCTGACCAAATTTTG